CGACGCATACTGGGGACCACCGTCGGTTGAGATTGCACTGGGAACGCCAACATCTGTAAACCAGCGACGAAGTTGACGAACCACGTCAGAAGATGTGGCTGTGCGGCCTATCTTTGCAACACACGGCCAACCGGTGAGTCGATCGACCAACACAAGGTATTCCCAACCTTGGCAATGGAAGAGGTCAGAGCTGACACTCTCGAACGGCATTGACGGTTGACGGTCACTCTGCAGCGGTTCTCTCGGCAAAGATGGCTGGAACTCACGACAGGGCTGACACGCACGGACAAGGCGGTCAAGCTCAGAGTTCAAACCAGGCCAGTACACTAGTTGACGCGCACGACGCTTGGTGCGGTCAATTCCTTGGTGTGCAGCGTGTAGATCTTGCAGCACAGATGCACGTAGAGCAGCAGGTACTACGATGCGATTGCCCTTCAGTACGACGGCGGAGTCGACAGATAGGTGTTCGCGTCCATTCCAATAGGGCTGCAGATGCCGTGGAAGGTCGGAACAGGAGCGTGGGAAGCCGGTGAGTACCATCTGCAGGAGATCTTGATACTCAGAGTCCGAGGCGCACGCATCTTGGAGCTTCGCATAGCGTAATGCTGACATCGAACCAGAGTCATCAGCACGGAGGCACGCACGAATAGCAGAACCAGATGGCAGGTCGTCTTCTCCAAGCAGGTCAGATGCTTGTGGGTCGGAGACGGGTGCTCGAGACAGAGCGTCGGCGGCATAATGCAGCTTTCCTTGTCTCCAGGAAGCATGAAATTGGTACGGCCGAAGCTTCAGCAGGAGACGCTGCAAACGAGGATTCTCGACCTGATCCAGGCTATACGTGTTGAAGATCGGAATCAGGGGCTGGTGGTCTACGATGAGGTCGAATCTGCTGCCGGCAAGGTACAGGTGGCACTTGCGCACAGCCCAGACCACAGCAAGACATTCAAGCTCAATCATAGCGTAGCGGCTTTCAGTGTCGGTGATAAAGCGGCTACCACACTGGACGAGGCGCCAGCCAGACGGGTGCAGTTGGAACAGTGCATAGCCGAGACCTTTCGTGCGGGATGCATCTGTTTCCAGACGTGTTTCCAGACCAGGTTGGTAATACGCCAGAATGGGGGGTTCGACCAGAGCATTCTTCACACGGTTGAACGCATCGGTGTGTGGCGTTTCCCACTGGAAAACAGCAGACGTCTTCAGCAGACCACGAAGCGGTGTCGCCAGCTCGGCGATAGCAGGTGTAAACTCAGCAAGCTGATTTACGAGGCCCATGAACGATCGGAGGTCGGTCCGATTCGTCGGGGTGGAGAAGTCGCGGATAGCGGAGAGCTTAGCGTCATCGACAGTCCAACCGTCAGCATTCAGGATGTAGCCGCAGAACTCGATCTCGGTAGCAGCGAACACAAACTTCTTCGCGCTAAGGGTTACGCCGTGCTCGCGCGCACACAACAATACGCGCCGGACGCGTGCCACATGGTCACCAAGGTCATCATCATAGACGAGACAGTCGTCGACGACCTTTTTGAAATTGGTGATGTTGTCGAATGCCGTGCTCATACGGCGGTTATACTCGTCTCCGGCCGAGATGAGGCCCTGCGGATTGCGCAAGTACTGATACCGGCCCCATGGAGTGATAAACGTTGTCAATGGCCGCGCTGCTTCGCTGAGTGGCACTTGCCAGTAGCCATGGCGAGCATCGAGCTTCGTAAAGAAGCGACCGCTGACACTGGTGACGACATCACGAGGTGGCTGTGTCGGATGCGTGGGACGTTGGATCTGATCGTTCAGCTTCTTGAAGTCCACCGTTAGACGCTTCTCAGTGGTGCCCTTCTTGTCGACTATAACAATAGGGTGGCACCAGTCACGGGGTTCAGAGACAGGCTCAATGATGCCATCCTTCACCATGTTGTCAAGCTGTTCCTTAATCTGGTCCCGAAACGCATAGGGCACTGGTCTAGCGTGATGAACACAGGAAGGTGTAGCGTCTGGTTCGAGCTGAATGTCCATTGACGGACCAGACATGGGCTTCAGACTGTCAGAGTCGAACACGTCAGAAAACTCCTCCAGCAGCTCAGTGCGAATCTGGTCGGCGGTGGGCTCAGGTGCTGGCTTGCGTTCAACTCGGCAAACAGAAGGCCAGTTGGGCGGCAGCAATCCGAGCGCACACAGGGATGTCCGGGAGAGCAAGGCATCCGACAGCTCGGAGTACACGTGTATGGTGGTGCGGTGAGTCTTGGAGCCTAGCCCAAGACTGGAACTGATCTGGCCAACGGATACGAGAGGCTGACCGTTCACACCGGTGACAACGTCTGGGTCCTCCGCCAGGTTTTCTGGGAATCCACCCAGAAGGTCAAGATGACGAAGACCAATGGCGTCGACATCACTGCCGGTGTCCGGTATCCAGTTAATGGCTGCACCTGTCTCCTCCGTGTTGAGCGTAGTCGTCACAGACACGGTGCCTTGTTGCCCGGATGATGCTTGCTGGAGCTTCAGCTGGCCGATCTTGGAACCACGTGGCTGCTTGGATTTCTTCGGGCACATTTTTTCAAAATGTCCAGTGGCTTTGCAGCCGTTACAAGTTTTGCCAGCAGCGGGGCAGGCAGACTTGGTATGCGTAGAGCGGCCACACTGGGGACATTTCTTGGGTGATGAATAAGCAGACTGGGGTGCTGCCTTAGAGGTGGCGTCCGGCGCCGGCTTGTCACCAAAGCGTTTCTGACGCTGGTACTGTGACCTACGGGCGGCGTTGATCGATGCTGACGGCAGAATACCATCCCCAGTTTGCTTTGCTGCTTCCTCAGCACGGCAAATCTTTGCGGCGTTAGCTAGTGTCAGGGATTGTTCGGCTAACAGTTTGTGCCGAGTGTCGTCATCGTGCACACCCACAACAATCCGGTCACGGAGGATCTCCTCGTGTGCTTGCACCAGCATCTTGGGGCAACTGCTGCACATGCGGGCAGAGCATGCGGAACAGACTTGCAAGTCGGCGAAGTCGCAGGCAGCAAAGGACTCCTTTAAGCCGGTGTAAAAAGCATCAAAGGTTTCACCACGTTGCTGGCGTCGGTTATAGAAGTCTATCCGATCCAGCAACGGGTTACGTTGCCTACGGATATATTTTTTGACAGCACAGATTATGTCCGAGACATCGGCATTAGTGGCCACGGCGATGATCCCCTCGCGCAAATAACGTCTTATGTCTTCATCTAGTGCCTGGCGTAGAGCACTCACTCGTGTGAGTCGGTCCTGAACGGACAGTTTCTGGCATCTCGCGTAATCCTCCCAAGCCTCCTCCCATGCGTTGAGGTCCGCGAGCGTGGCAGAGGAAAGCAGGATGGGCCGTTGCACCGAGATTTGGTTCGTCGTGGGCTGCGATGTGGATGTATTGCCACTATTGGAGCTACTCAACAGGGCAGTCAGGCGTGCCTCGCGGTCCGCTGCGGCTGTCATCTGTGCCTGCATGAAGGTCAACAGAGCCTGAACATCAGGGCTGACAGGTAAGTTTGGCGTGGCTGCTGCGCCAGGGACAGCATCACTACCAGAGTCGGACATTACGAATCGAAACAAATTTACAGCACTCGCACGAGGGTCACACCACTGAAACAACGGGCCGGGATTGTCAGGTCACAACGGGTGATCTGACCTACCGCCTACAATACTACTACGACAGGTAAGAAAATAGTTCACTGCGCCATGTGATAAACGTATTGGTTTATTCTAATAAATACTTTGTAGTAGTCTCCATCGAGGAGCGAGTGGAAAAGAACAACAAAACAAAGAACAGCACAACGGAATCAGCATGCTCAATGTGTAGTCATGCGTGCATGCCAAATACCAATGCATGACGTAAGCTAACGTAAACTGCGTACAATAAGACAGATGCACGCGGGTGGTTGCATATAGGATAGCGTACATAATAATACAACAGGTGGCAGGTTCAACGGAGTTGCGCAGAACCAGAGCAAACACACGAAAAAAACTTGTGAGCGAAAAATACGTTTTTTGCACTCTGTGGCTACGCTCAGCCGTGAAAAAACAAAGCTGTGCTCTAGGCTGCAATCGTGTCAGAAAACTTTTGAAAACACATGAAACACATGAAAACTTATCAAAATGCATGAAAACACATGAAACGCAGGCAAAATGCAGAAAAACGACAGCCGAAATCATCTACATTGAAGGTATTTCCATGCATTCCCGTTGTCCTTTAAAAAAACTGTACATGGCATTGTGTTTCAAATGGACTTTGAAAGGAAGAAAAGCCTCCAGGTTTATCCCCGTGAAAACATGGTAATTTGAAAGTGTAGTCATTGCTGTCTGATGATCGCCACAGGCGTGAAACTCTGAGTCACAGCCAACCCAAGCTCCGTATCCCATTCTATTCTTTTTGTATGAAGCTCTGCACCCCGGTGCATTGAGCACTCTTTCGAGGACCACACCCAACTTTCCGTGTTTTGTCTTTTTGTAATTTGAAAGTGTAGTGTAATGATGATATTATGTATCATGACATTCATGTTGAGTAGATCTATGACCGGTTGTATGCCTTTCCCCCTTTCTGTGATCAGCCCAGTCTGAACTAGCACACGTTTGCCCTCAGGCCATGCTGTGTCTAGACTCGCATGTGATTGCATGGCCATTGGGCACTCTGTGTATTGCTTGCACCATATCCATTACACCGTATTTATTGTCTTTCACACCTCTGCATGAATCCCGCATGAACTGTACGTGAGTGCTGCCTTTGGCTTATGCGCATCATGTTTACACGCTCTTGGCATGCCTGTCGGGACTCCCCTTGCATACTTTCTACACATCCCCCCATCCTTCCATACACGGACCGGGGCTGGGACGCTCGGGCTCATGTTGCTTGTTGCAGCTCTTCTCTCGGAATTCTTTCTCCTAGCTTCTTACTTCACTTGCACTATCTGTTGGTATGTGGTTTGTCTTGTAAATAACTAAGCATTGGCAACCCTAGCTCAGGAGTTTGCTACAGAAAGTTTCTTCATTCCGTTGCCTTTTTCGGTTTACATCGCCTGTTCTGAAGGCATGACACACACCGCTTTTTTTTCCTTCTCTTTTCCCTCCGCTTTTCTGCCGCCCTCTTGGCATGCTGCTGCGAGAGTGCCAGTGGAGTGCCTCCAAACTCACCAGGATGGCTACCCTGTAACTACCCTTCCCATTGTTTTCTATTGTCCTTTTCATGTTCTCCCCTTTCCTAGTGGGGCATTGTTATTATTATTATTATAAGCTTGTTCGCGTTGACATCACCAAGCAAGCTTGGGTAGTCTTCGCATAAGCCAAATGAACAAAAGAAATGAGGAACGAGCTAGGCCGATGAGGTGAACACACGCGTGCAACTGCAGAATGGCAAAAAGGAATATACATGTCATGTAATAAGACAGTCCTGGGCATTGTTAGTGAAGTAACAATAAATAATTGGAGCGTTAAGACCTCTTCCCCGTACTGACCTGCTTTTGTTCGGCTCAATGAAGGTAAGAAGCAGGATACAGTGAAAACAGACAATGCTATGGCCGACACATGAGACAAACGGGTAGGGACCGTGCACTGGAGCACATGCACACACTCACGCACATGCACACACACACACACGGCGTGCCCTCGCGGCATCATATAATTTGACATCATATCGTGTGTGCCCGTGTGTCTGTGTTTCTGCTGCAGAGTTTGGCGCCAACCACAGCAAGGCACCGTCGCGCTACAATATCGGAGGTATTTGTGGTGCCATTGTCTGGCTCGTCATGCCATTAGTGATCACTACGCTGGTGAATTACTAAGCGCTTTACTGATCCACGTCAATGGTGTTCGTGACGCTGGATGTCTGATAGCTTTCCACCATCATCTGGATACAGACAACAGAAGAAGATCACTGACTTTTGCAAATGAAAAAGAACAAAAAAACGAAAACAAACAAAAATAACACAATGGACGTTATCCCGATATGCTTGATACGAATCATACGATTGTTGAGTTTTACTTTCTACCTGCTTTAACTGTTGCCCGATGATTACTCTGTGCGTGTGTGAAACTCAAGAGTGGCAACACATTACTAGCTTTGCTACACTGTTGTACTGCTGATCATCTGACTGAGCCTTGAATTCTTACAACTGTTTTAGCACAATGAAGATGATGATTTGAATTGTGCGCTGAATATAATTGTATTGCTTTAGTTTCGCCTGTGCGGATATTGATCAGATGCAAGGAATTGTGTCTATCAACTTCCCTGCAGACTGAGCATCATTCTGTCCTGAGTATTGTGGTTTAAAAACGGTATTGTGTCACGTTTCTCTAGATGGCTATTTTCACACTGCATGATCCCACCTGTTTTTTCCAACTGATAGTGTGTGCGTGTTTGCACGTGTGTGTGTGTGTGTGTGTGTGTGTGTGTGTGTGTGTGTGTGTGTGTGTGTGTGCACGTGCGTGCGTGTTTGCACGTGTGTGTGTGTGTGTGCACGTGTGTGTGTGTGTGCACGTGTGTGTGTGTGTGTGTGTGTGTCACGGCGTGTGCATGCACGAGAGAGAGAGAGAGAGAGAGAGAGAGAGAGAGAGAGAGAGAGAGAGAGAGAGAGAGAGAGAGAGAGAGAGGGAGGGAGGGAGGGAGGGAGGGAGGGAGGGAGGGAGGGAGGGAGGGAGGGAGGGAGGGAGGGAGGGAGGGAGGGAGGGAGAGAGAGAGAGAGAGAGAGAGAGAGAGAGAGAGGGTGCTCTGAACTTGTGACCATAATAATTATGCCATCATTTGGGGCCATTCAGCATTATCGATAATTTCACGGAAAGAAAGGTTTAGTAATGACCCTCCCGGGAGCTGTAACTCAACAATAGTACTGTAATGGTCGAAGTTTTGTGTCTTGGTTTTGGTCGTGTACAAGAATTTTTATGTCCTATACATGTACTGACCAAGTACGAAGTCAATATTAGATTTATCACGACAAACAGTCCGTTTTTCAAATTCCAGAACGATAACATGAATCCCGGTTTTATGATTGCACAACCGTTGCACCATCACCTACTCATACAGTGACCATGCTGCACTAGGCACCGTTCAACTGCGCGACCCATAAGCAGTCAAATATAAACAGCCAATACAGCCCTATAGCCTGAGGAGTGAAATATGCAGGAATATGTGACTGCTTAGGTATAGCGAAAATCAATGGGAGTCAATACTAAGAGAGTGATAACAGTACGTAGAACGAGTGTCTGAGCATTTTGTGCTTCCTAGACCCTACTGCGTTTTGTAGACTGTTGATTAATACGAAGAGCACAAACTCCCTTTTGCTAATGCTATCAGTTGAACCGCTGATGTGGAGCCAATCAGGTAGCCGTCAATGCCGTATTTTACGACTCCCTGGAGCCAATCAGGTAAAATATCAATGAATAGAGGCATGCGTGCTAAACATGTCACGAACATACATTGGAAAGGCTTCCTGTCTGAAGCCTTTCCATACTGGTACTCGATGTTCCAGTTTTGTGACACGAGAATGGCACGAGAATTAGTGTACCGCTGAGTGTACCGCTATACACGTGGTCGACACGTAGTCGACACGTTGTTGATACTTTTTGACACGTGACCCCGTCAACGGTCTGCTTTGTGCCAATGCCACTCGGTAAACGCCGATGCCACGTAGATCTACGACAAAGACGACTATCCCGTACGCGAAATAGTTGAGAACTGCATGACGTGGACCTGACGGCAAGGACAACTGCGAGGAGACCCCTCTCGGTCGACGGGAAGGAGAACTGCATGCAGAAGTCGACGAAGTCGAACGAGGAGGCCCCTTTCCGTACCCCGTACTGCAAAGTGCCATTGATGGATGCCTTTTGCACCTGGAACGACCCCTTAAACGCTGTCGCGGCGACTATCCCGTACGCGAAATAGTTGAGAACTACTGACGTGGACCTTTTGCACCTGGGACGGCCCCGTAAACGCTGTCGACGATGTCGTGTCGGCGGAGTGAATGTGCAGGGTGAAAAGAATTACTGCAAAGACGTCCGCTCTAGGCCTTTGGAGACATCGTGGGAACACCTTCCGGTACTATACAAGCTGCTGACGTGGCCGTGGACATGTACATGGAGTCATGGTGGGACTTCATGTACATGGATACATGGTGGGAATTCCTTCCGGCACCCCCGTACCGCAAAGCCAACGGTGGGGAAGGAGAAGAGCAGACGTGCAGGAAGACGAACGAGGAGGAACCAGGACGAGCGAGCAATGGCAGGACTAGCTGGACCGTAAGTAGTAGCTGAATTGTGCATGACAACTTGACATCCGTGCGGCACTCGCCACTTGCCACTGCATATTATTTTCTTGTCCACTAACAATGTCTCTCCTCTGCCCCCTGTGTGTCCACGGCCCTGTTGCTGAATTGGCCCGATGAATCGAATGTCTTCCGCAACTGGAACGGCCCAGTAAACGATGTCGCGTCGGCGACTGAATGCGCTGGAGGGAAAATATTGCTGCGAAGACGTTTCCTCTAGACCACGGTAAGGCAACCCATTGATATGTTGCCAGTTACCTTCTACTAACACGTTATCAGGTGGAGAGTGTCTTGTACTCACGTTATCAGGTCGAGAGCGTATTGTAGTCACTCTCTCTATTCCTGCACTTCATTACGTTTAAGGTGTACGTATAACTTCTCAAAAAAATTTAATGGTCTACAGTCGTGTCGGAAGGGTACGGTGGGACTGTAGACCTGTTACCTTCTAACACGTTATCACTATATCAGGTCGAGAGCGTATTGTAGTCACTCTCTCTATTCCTGTACTTCATTACGTTTCAGGTGTACGTATAACTTTTCCAACAAATTTAATGGTTCACGTCTTCAGATAGAGAGCGTATTGCACCCACTGTCTAGTCTCTGTAGTGCATTGAGATTTTGTTGATCGCACATGAAAATGGATACACAGGCAAAGCAGGCCAAGTACATGGCGAGATGTCGCCAGAAGAACGTCTTCAGATAGAGAGCGTATTGCACCCACTGTCTAGTCGATTTTGTGGATCGCACATGAAATGGATACACAGACAAAGCAGGCCAAGTATATGAGAGAGTGGACGATGTGCGGATCGACACGGCCTGCGGGTACTTCATTAAAGTTACCCGTGACATAACTAGGATAAAAGTTAATCACTGCAAAGACATTGCCAAGTATGTGAGCACTTTGGACTTGACAGAAGAGTGCAAGGGCGACGTTGACAAAACATACCGCGGTGACTGTCACCATCATGACGGCAGGGCACATCGCACGCAGCATCGCAGATCGTGTCGAATTGCGCATCATAATATTGCAAAATTGCTCCTGTGCATGCAAGTGGATTTCATTGCACTTCTCAGTTTGGGAAATGCTCGATTATGACAATTCTGCGTGTGAGTGCACTAGCCCTGAACATACATGTAGGTGACCCGTTTGTGGTGTCTCATAGCTAGCCCTTTCCCAAAGATGCTCGTCACTTTTTTCGGAACTTTTCGGTGTTTAGGAAGAAATCGCAACTTTCACAACTTTCTTCATTTTTCGGAACTATTTCGCAATTTCTCCACAACCTTGGCGCAATTGGCCCCATGGCATGGGGTCGAAAGGTCAGGTCACCGACTACATGTTGCATTGTTGGACAAATACATACTCGTGCTCGCTCATTTCTCGCCTGCCTTCAGGCTCATTTCTGAGAAACAGTAGATCAACGGTAGTTACGATAATTATGTGCATTCCCTTTTCCGTGCACTGTAATGATGTACATGTACCGTAAAGTACCGCCAGAGCGCCCCACCATCTCGTCCTTTCGTGGTCGTATTGTGGAGGTGGTCTGCTGTCTGTAGGTCATACGACACGGACCTTGTACACATATTCCACATTTTGCAGTCAATCCGGGGATATCCGTACCTTCGAGCGGACACAAGCTCCACACAAAAGCCTGCCAAGTGTGCCCTTAGTACACTAAGGTTCTCACATCGTACAAACTTCGTTGCACTCTGCCATACGATTTTCCTTTCCCTGGCTGTAAAATCAAGGTGGGGCGCTCTCGCGAGACGGGGCGCTCTGGCGGTACTTTACGGTACATGTAGGATACATGCAACAGGCTACTGGCACTGTGTAAAATGGTGGTTCACAGCAGGAAGGGGTGTACGAGTTTGCTGTCGCAGCATCGCTGCATTTCTGCTATTTCTGCTCCCTGTTTTGTAGGTTTTGCACAAGAACTCTCCAATTTTGAGTTGCGATGTTGGCAACTTTTGAGCTTTTTCTGAAAATATGGATGCGATTTCAGCAACTAGCACTTGTTTTGGCACGGTTGCGAAAAGCATAAGTTGCGAAAAACTATGGCATCTTTGGGAAAGGACTACTCATAGCCTACCTCACGACCTTCTGCTTTCTTTCTTCATCACTTGTATCTTGCAGGTATATCATCCCGTGACGACCACATTGAAGTCTGAATTTGAAGTTTGAAGATGCTTCAGCAACCACACCGTACTTTTCCATTGCTTTCATTGTGCTTCTACTGTGCATGTGTGTAACTTGTGGGGTAAACATGTGATGACATTGTATGCTAGCGACACGGTCAGATGTTGTCCATGCGTCTAACGTACACGTGCATGTTATGCATTGAAAAGGATTTGCCACTTGCGATCCTGGGACGAGTATCAGGTCAGCTTTGTCCTGTCTGGGCTGTATCAGATTGCTGTTCACTTCTCTATCTGTTGGATGTGTGACTTTCTGCAAGTTTCTGGTGTATGATGGCCACTTCCTTTCTTGTCACTTTGTATGATATTACATTCTGTATTCGCTGCTTCCATGGCGTGGTCTGCAAACTGCAATCCTTGGGCAAATGTCATGTTTGCTATGTTGTGCTTTGGCCGTCGGCTTGTCTACACGCTGTAGTTGAATTATTTTTGTTTCACAACTGACTTCCTCAAGTACGGTGGCCACTGCTTTGCATGGCATTATATATGAAGAATTTCCTGTTTGTGTCGTGCGCATGTGCGTATGTGTGCGTGGCCACGTGTGTGTGCCGTGTGCATGTGCGTATGTGTGCGTGGCCACGTGTGTGTGCCGTGTGCATACGCATGTTTGTGTATCTGTGTGCGGGGTAGCGAGGCGGGGAGGGCTGGTATGTATCAGTGTTTTATTGCAGTCTCATGGCTACATACAGTACATCGCGCGTGGTCATCATGTTTATCTTCGGGGTTGGGGTGGGGAGGGAACGGAAAAAGAGCTGAAATTATCCATATAAAACCGCTCTGTGAGCGGTTCTGAAAAACCTTTACTGGTACTGCCCCTTCGTAAAAGTAAGAAATTAGAACTGGTCCATTGTCCTCCCAAATGCGAACTGATCCACCTAAATCGCGAATGACGGGACCCGAACGCACCAGTAGCACGAGGTTCCTACCTGTGGATGCAGATGGGGACGTTGGTCCGGACCAAAGGCCATGTACTGTACTAGCGGTAGGTGGTGTTACCCTATGATGTCCTGTGCCCCCCCGACCTCGTGCTACTGGTGCGTTCGGGTCCCGTCATTCGCGATTTAGGTGGATCAGTTCGCATTTGGGAGGACAATGGACCAGTTCTAATTTCTTACTTTTACGAAGGGGCAGTACCAGTAAAGGTTTTTCAGAACCGCTCACAGAGCGGTTTTATATGGATAATGTACATGTAGAAGTCTTGCATCAGTTCCAGAATGATAACGTCAAGAAAACGTTCTGGAACTACTGTAAGTCTTTACCGCTATGCTTGGGACATATGCGCGCATATCATTTTTTAATTCATACAAGTAGCTTTTTGAAACTCGGATGTTGAGCCAAATAATAAAGTTAAGAGTAACTGCCCACCACTGTAACTAGATACTATAATTATATAGTCAGATGTAGCGTTTTATTGCACAATGGTTGTCGCCATTTATATGATCTTCTAACCAACATGCAAATGGACATGTATTCGTGTGTTGTTCCGTTACTGCTGTGATATTATGATATACTTGTGTGTAGTACAGTACTTATTACTTTTTGGTTTCTTCCTCGCAAGTCTCTTCACATCCAAGGAATTCAGCAGATGCGAAGCTTTGAATTCAGCATCTTGCTGATACACAAGAATTGGTACGCTTTCCAACGGCCAAAGAGAGTTGGAAAGCTTGTGTCTTTGTGGATAACTCGAAACAATTTGGGCTAAGACGCTGCAAAATTGCTCCGATTTTGGATTTCATTCCACAGAATGTGGTACGTACAAGTACAAGATGCGGTCCTTGACCGCATTTCCGTCACTTCGCAGTGGCCTTTCTTCCGTTCAGTTTATTCCCGCCCTCTCACCCCGGACCGAAGGGTGTTTATAGACATCGTGTTGATGCTTGTGGTTTTGCCTAGGGCAGTTACGACTGCGGTGTTTTTCTTTGTTTGGTCTTTTTTTTTAACATTAGGGGTGGTGTGCGCGTCGTGGGCCGTTGTATGGTTACATTCAGCTTCAGAGGGTTATTGACAGAGGATGAATTGGCATGAGGCAGAATGCAAGATTAAATTGAAGGATTGGGATTTTTCAGGGGCCGTCAAGGCATTGTGTTAACTGAAGCTGGATGCTGACCTGTGTGGTGTGCCGGTGTGAAGATGCTGTGCAAGGGTGTTGTTCTCTTGCGTTTCTGAGGTGTGCGTTTTTTTACATTCCCTATTGTTATGCCGTTGTTGGCGTGCTGTTTGCTGTTTAATTATCAGCATTTACGATTGACTGCTGTATCGATCGTGCATATAATTTGAAAACTTACAACTAATTATAGCATTAAAAAAATTAAAAAAAGAAAAAAGAAAAGAAAAGGCCATTGCCGAGCCACCGGCGCACCGCGCTCTCAGCAGAGACTTCTGCGTGTTGGTGTTGTGAGAGTGTACCACAGTGTACCACAAAGACATTGACTTCAATGCGAGTACAATCATGTACATGTACGTGATTGTACTAGTTAGTGTTATTCTAATCATGTACATGACATTAGGCATGGGCGGGTAATGCTAGCATTATGGCTGGCATTACAGTCCCTTTTTTCCAGGTGGCACAATGCTGGCATTATAACACCATTTCGCATGCAAAATTGGATTACAAGCATGCATGTAATTGCCGGTCGACAACGGTGTCATGCATGAAGCTGGCTAGGTCCAGTTCCGAAAATCGTGCATCTGAACCCATCCGGCTTCGTCCGGAGACTTGACGTTGCAAATCAACCTTCTTAGTGGATTGTTTCAGACAACATGCTCACTGCTGTTTTAGTTTTTTTCTTCTACGCTTTGGCCTTGATCCAAGACGGCCTTCTTAAATCGACTTTTCCAACTTTCAAACTGGCATTATGGAGTAGTGTGAGCATTATAAGTGGCATTATGTCCTCATAATTATGAGCATTGCCTTTAGCATTATCGCAGCAAATAACTAGCATTACCCGCCCATGCCTACGTGACACAAAGTTTGCTTATGGTGTTTGTACTGTACTGTACCGAGTGCGCAGCTCGCTCTAAAAGTATTTATTTATTATTGAACTACTACTACTAGAACGCACAGTACACTGTACTGTAAAGAGAGAAAGCTTTTGTTTAAAGAGAATAGCCCGGGACAGCCTAAAACAGCGCAATCATGAATGGTGCACTATCCAATCATACTCATAGTCCTAGTCCCCAGACGGTGGCTCACAAATACATGCACATCATGTATGTACCGGTATTTTGGAAACATACCACCGCAGGCCTCCGCAGCCTCTTGGATATCAAATTGACCAAACTATTGCTGTGGATCTCTCTTTTGTTGTCAGCTGTTGTCGCCGGTGCCTTTCCAGTTTGTTCCCAAGTAGTACGTCAAGTAACAGTGCGGTGGTTAGTTCTACTCAACAGTCTATACAATGCTGTTATGAGTGTTATCAGCGGCAGTGCTAGTCCGAAATGGCACTAAGAATGCGCGGCGAGATCTCAGCCAAGTGCCTTCATTCCGCCGCCATTCTGCCTCTGCCTGAACGGGATGTCGCAAGGTATTATCATAATCTTGGTTTGAATTGTTGGAAAAGTAGTTGAATGGATGGCGATAAGTCGCGAGATCCCATCCTCGTACAGCGGCGATAGTGGTAGGACATTAATTACACTGTATTGGATTGCCCAAGCAGCAATCAATGGCCTTTCGTCGCGCGGCACGTGATCGTACATCTCACAGAACATGTGCATGTACGTGTACGGGCGACAGGCATTACTAATACTATGAATACAAGTGCTCTTGGCAACCTGAATCTTGGTATTCCAAAAATTGAATCTTTCGGACGCCAACATACTGCTTACCTGATCAATAGGCATGCAGTGAAAGGAGCACGTGCTGCTGTTGGACGGCTACATCATGCAACCACCACTTTACCTTGCTCAAGCGGCTGCCTCTTGACAGGAAAACTGGCTTATCTGTTATCAGAACAATTATTATACAATCATGTACATAAGTAGAGCAGCACACCACACACCAGTCCAGGACAGGATTGAATTGCGCTGTCAAAGTGCAGAGTTCGAATCTCGACAGGCCAGAGCTTTCTCTATTGACAATCGTGGCAGGCCCTGTCCAAAGTCTCTAGCGGCAAGCACTTTGGTCAGCATGCGTAAGCGCAGCAGATGGCACGGCGTCGCATGTAGTCATGCAGGAAACAAGTCTAAGAAGTAGTTCGAGCACATGGCTATGCAAGCCCAGCGGTTGACAGGTCAGTCTTGTACAGGAGACTCATGACTACTAATACTCAATGCTCTGAGCCTCGCTTGTCAGCCGTGCCACGTCCTCTGCTTGGCTCAAAAAGAGGCAAACGTCTGAATGAGTCTTTGCCTACTATAAAATCGTCTTGGAAGAAAGTTGAAGGTCATTATTTCCGACTGTCGTCTATAGTTTAGCTGATAGTTCTGGTCGTATCATATCGTGGAGGTGCTGGCGCTGGTCTCACGATGGCAAGGGCCGACCACATAGTGCTGGTAAGTTCCGGGGTTACTTACATTAATTTTACATAGGGGTATTGGAACACGAATTCGAATTACATGTGTGAGTGTTGTCATATCTGATCGTTTCGATTGGGTCTGTAAAGATGTGCGCGTACCGATGCCTGTACGCCGTATGCACCAATCAGTGAATCACACTCTCTTTCCTGGATTGGTCTGTAAACGCGCTACTGTCACCAGATTGTGCTGTACTGTGGCAGGGTGTTCGGTGGCGCATGCATGCAGGACTGTAGCCAGTGTAGGCTGAGTGTAGCGAGGAAATCTGTAGTGGGCTGGGAGGTGGGCCATGGTTAGGTGGGTGCCTGGAGCTTCAAAGTCGCTGGGTATCATTCTATCAAGGCATGAATATTAATATTTACACCAGGACAGGCATGAGAAGCGCACACTTCCATCTTCTTTGTTCATGATGGGACAACAACATGTCAGGTAGTAACTAGATTCACGCACTACGGCCGAACCGACGGTTACAGGTGGCGATCAGTGGAATCAATGAAATGCCATTGCTCAAGACGTACACCATGATCAGTCACAAAAGGGTTTATCGCGTTTTCGCTGATTTTTTACCCACCTAAAATAGTCTTTTGAAGATTGCCCTTTTCATTGCATGAACATCTCCAGATAGCTAGCTATTGCGACAGTCTTAGGTCTCACCAGCGGAGCTGTGTACCAGCTCAAACACCTTTTGCTTGTATGAACGTCCATCATGCGGTGCCTTCGCTGAGGGCTTATGTTGTGCTACGAATCTAGCGAGGGTCCCTGGTTTGAGTCCTGGTGGTGACAGTCAATAATATTATTTTTTCTTCAGACTTTTCCCGTTTGTCTTTTTCCCTCAAACCAGTTAGAATCTAGTATTTACAAGTACTTTTAAAACTGTACTTTGTACAGTGCGCTGCTGTGCTGATGTGTGCTATCAAGAGACCATAACCGTTGTTTTAAAGACTGAGTCTTGACACCAGCACGATGGCATACATGTAGTTAGAGTCTGAGGAGGAAAACTGGAGAATGCCGGTATGCATAAAATAATTCATGGCGGTTGGCAGGAACGCGGAGCACAGCATGTGCTCAGCGCACTCATAACCCAGTTACCCAATCTCACAAATCTCACAAATCTCCCCTGTACTACCCACAGCCACACTCCTTTCAAAGTGGCCACATAAGTGCGCGGAGATGCCAAGTCACAGTCATGTAAGAGCTCCGCCGGTTTTGTGTAGGTGCCCGCACCCATACTATAGTTTTGTTTTGTTTGAGAGCCTCGCATGCGCACAGCTACAGAACAATCAGGCATACCAGAGCAAGCAGCCTCTATCGGAACGTCGTTGTTAAGTCTTTTAAAATAACTCATATTGAGCTGAACGGCTGTGTCGTAGAGCTGTGGAATGTCTCCAGCGACGTCTCCATACACGTACAATCACCACGCACTAATCCATGCATTGGTTCTTTGAGGTAGTTTCATACAGCTAGTGCAACGAGTCAAGGAGCACCGTCGGCAAAGTCAAGTCAGTAATCCATTTCTGAACAAGAACACTCCATCAGCGTTGTAGAATCGATCGTCAAAACACTTCCAGTGGAAGACCACTCTCTGTTGTTTGGTATTCCTGCTCATGATGCCAGGTCATTGCCCCTTTATGGCCCCATCCAGCTTGTCATCCTGTCTCTTTTCTCTTCCAACTAAGTTACTTCTGCCCATGGCGTCCCTCTCTCAGCTCGTCAGCTGGCAACAGTCACTGGCACCACCATGACACTGTCGTGGCAGAAGTTGGAAGAAAAAAGAGTTACAAAGAAGGAAAAACACTTCAGGATAAAATTAGCTACTATTTTGTATGAGAAGACACCCAGGAGCGATCGCAGAATACAAGACTGACGTTATGTATGTATGTATGTATGTATGTATGTATAACTCATAATCACAAGGTGATCAAAGAGGCATTAATCAGCGAGAGAATTGTGAATGATGTCTCTGAATCCAACTCTATCGTGTGCTGCATGAGAGAGAGCATGACGTTATGAGAAGTCTAAAAACTCCCCTAGAATAGAGAGGGTCAGAATCGGGTCTAAGACCCATACCGTCATACGGTCAGATGGTCGCAACCGACCGGGGCTCTACCGGTACCAACCGTGGATGGTTGTACATGTACGTTGTAGGAAGGTCACTGTTTCCGAGCAAGTCGTGGACCACGGCACGTGCGTGGTTACCATGCCATCTCAAACCGACGCCATCATGCTAAGTAACACGCCGTTGCCGCTTCTTGATTTCTGTAATGCTGTGCAGCTGACGAGCGCACTCACTCTAGTGTGTTGGAGTGGTCTGAGCACAGCGTATTCCTCCGGTGCTCCTGCGCATACGTGTTCCTCCATGCTTCCCGGACACGGCCTGCCTGAGTTGACGGATGACCAAGGCTGTACGCTCACCTTCGCTGGCAGCGTTCGGGAAGGAAGCAAGCAGAGACGTAAGTGCTTACCGCCACTTGACAACGAAATGCTCGCCCTGTCTATAAGCAGCGGCTTCGAGCCTCGCAGGATAGGGCACTGAGGGCAGGCTAGAAATAGTACAAGGTGCAATTGAAAATGCAGATATTTCAAGAAACTATTGAAGAAGAAATATTTTGCGTCGCATGTGTACAGTGTATGCTTCTAATTCTGCTTGTAAGTGTAGAATATAATTCCCGAGTGCCTGCTGTCTGTACAAAAAGAACTAAATCAGTGCAAAAGTACAAGACATTAATAATGATGCAGAAATGTGAAACTATCCAGCACACTACTACAACATTTGAACGCTAGGGTATCTCCCAAAAATTTATACATTTACTGCATTCGTGATGCCTTCAGAGTAGTTGCAGTCATCATTGAACTCATCAGCCCCAGTCACAGACTCATGATTCTTTAATATTATTATTATGTTTGACCATGTTTGTGCATGTACTTGCTCACTGCCAAAACTGGTCACGTGGGTCTCCCCGGGAGAGTGGAGAGAGACTCAAAACGGACCGGACCTGGAGGTACGGCTGGTGACACTGTCGTTGCTCCTTCTGCTACGTTGATGCTGCTGTGTTGTGTACGTCCCGTGTCCTGTGTTGTGTCCTGTAGTGACTCTGAACTGCGGTGGAACGTCGTTCCGAGGGTTTCACATCCAATGCCGTGCCGGCGGGGAAGATGGCGCAGCGGCCGGCCAGTTCACGGCCACGTCCAACTCTCGCGTCTTCACGTGTGGAGGCAAGCAAGCGGTAAGCTACTATTGTAGTGTCTGCCAACTTACTCGTGTCGGAAGCACTTTATCTTCATATTTTTTTAATATTTTTTTTCAATGTTCCATTATTTTTTATACTGAAGTGCACAGTCCCGCAGGGAACGCAATGGCAAGACAGAACCAAAGAGGAGACATGACAATACAGCGGGATAGCAGGAGCAGCATGCTGGTGAAGTGGGCCTACCCCCCCCCCCCCCCAACCATGGGTCTCGGGATCAGCAGCAGGATCAAGCACCAAATACAAAAAAATTAAGTAGAGCCGAGAAAAGGAAATGAGCCAGTATCACGGTGTGATGCAAGGAAACAGAAATTGAGATGGCGAGTTGCCTGGTATTACAGGTGTGGTACAGAGACTCGGAGAGACTTGGAGAGAGAGAGAGAGAGAGAGACAGACAGACAGACAGACAGACAGACAGAGAGAGAGAGAGACAGACAGAGAGACAGACAGACAGAGAGAGAGAGACAAGAGACAGACAGACAGAGCGAGAGCAAGAGAGAGAGAGAGTGAGAGAGAGAGAGAGAGAGAGAGAGAGAGAGAGAGAGAGAGAGAGACAGAGAGACAGAGACAGAGACAGAGACAGAGACAGAGAGGGAGAGAGACAGGGACAGAGAGAGAGACAGAAGAAGAGAGAGAGACAGAAGAAGAGACAGAGACAGAGACAGACAGACAAACAGACAGACAGAGAGACAGGGAGAGAGAGAGACAGAGAAAGAGAGAGAGAGACAGAGAGAGAGAGAGAGAGAGAGAGAGAGAGAGAGAGAGAGAGAGAGAGAGAGAGAGAGAGAGAGAGAGAGAGAGAGAGAGAGAGAGAGAGAGAGAGAGAGAGAGAGAGAGAGAGAGAGAGAGAGAGAGAGAGAGAGAGGAGAGAGAGAGACACACACACAACACACACACACACAGACACACACACCACGAGAGAGAGAGAGAGAGAGAGAGAGAGAGAGAGAGAGAAGAGAGAGAGAGAGAGAGAGAGAGAGAGAGAGAGAGAGAGAGAGAGAGAGAGAGAGAGAGAGAGAGAGACAGACAGAGAAATAGACATGGTGGCAGAGAGACAAACAGAGACAGAGAGGACAGAGAGAGAGAGAGAAAAAGAGGCAGAGGCAGAGAGAGCGACATTTTTTTGGAAATTGAGCCCAGATCAGCATCTTTGATCTTTTATTGGTTCACGGGGTAGCTGGGGAAATAGTGGTACGGTCAATACCGTAGTGATCGTACCATGTCCGACGCCCCTGCACTGCTGGCACCGTGTTGTCAGGGGAGATTTAGAAGTACACCAATCAGTGTCATCTTGTGAAAGAGGTTGTTCCTTTCCGGGCTACATCTTTTTTCTCGCCGTATGTCTGTTACTGAAGCAGTTCGGGATTGACCAAACCAGCAAACTCTGGTAGAATACGAGTACAATACAATACACGTAATTTGGATATTGGGTGAGTTCCAGTCCCGGTGGTGACAGTCAATATCTACTTTAGGTCTTCTCTCTTTTTGTTCCAACAAACTGATGAAGATTCCATTCATGGAGGCTCCATGCATACTAGTTGAGCACATCACTGGCCTAACTTGAAGTTCCCTTTTATGGGTCCTGGTGGTGACAGTCAATTTTAATTTTTAATTTTTTCCATATATCTTTTATTCCCTTTGGCTGTTTCTGTGTTTCTATCAGAGTGCTATCACACATACAAGTCGCACCGGAAAGACGTCCATGGAGATCGACTGGGAACCGGACCAAGCAGCATGCCAAGGCAACATTCAGTGCCGGTATGTGTAACAAAGCTTTTAGACAACGTGCCTGAAGTCCTTGCTGCAAACAGTGCTCAATACCTCAAAAAGGGCAGAGCGTACTACACAAAGGCAGAACAACAGAGACCAAAAATCTTTCTCGTAACTCGGAGTTTCGTGTTCATACACACTCATCAGAAACAACGCTTTTAAATACTTTAAAAGAATCACACACCCAACTCGCAAGGTACCGATGGTTGTACTGCAGCCAACCTCGTGTGTAACGACCTCGGATATAACACCCACTTAAGCTCTCTAGGTAATCTGAGAACTCTGGCTATTGTAACACCAACTAGCTGATACCGACATGAGCACCAGGCCTAGTGACAATAACAATGCTTTGACTGCATACCAAGCAACCTCGCGAAAAATGAAAACTCTCTAACAAGAACACTTTTTTTATCCACGAAAGAGAGGCACTATTCGCAAGGCTGATTGTAGTGCATTTGCCCTGAAAGTTGTAGAGCCGTGTAGTACCTTGGCCGGTACAGTTCGTGGCCGGTACAGTTCGTGGCACTACTGTGCAAGACCAATTGACAGCTTCACGCCATCTAGTTCAATTTTTTTGGCCTTGTTCATCTTGGCTTCATCAACCGCTTCTGCTGGGTATGAACTGTGTTGGCTTTGGTTGTTTCGGCAGGGATATTCACCATAGGTCTTTCTATAGGCGGCGCGGAGACAATACCTTTATAATGGCAATCAGAAGAATTGATTATTACTACGTACAATGTCCGCTTTACTGATTCTTCTGCATGCCACAAAAAGCCTACAATAGATACTTGCAGTGGACTTCCCTTCTTGCAATTTTGACTTAACGGTTTAAAAAAATATTTTTCAAAGAATTATAGCCAGGAGACTGTTTTGAATGGTGTGATTGTGTAGGCAAGATCAAGTGGCTACAGTGGAGTCTTCATACCCGTAGACGGAATAATATGATAAGTTATTGAAGGGTATGAAGACTCCACTGTAGCCACTTGATCTTGCCTACACAATCACACCATTCAAAACAGTCTCCTGGCTATAATTCTTTGAAAAATAACTGAGTATAAAGATGATGCTCTGTCCCGCTGTTGTTTCTTTCTGCAGTGCCACGGTTGTGTTTCAATACACTCAATACACTCGGCTAGTGCGTGGTGCAGTGACGCAGTGTGCAGCTCCAGCCACCACGGCGCCACCCAGCTGCCCGGCCAACCAGGAATACAGAGAGTGTGGCACTCTGTGCGAGCCAACCTGCGAGGGTTCGGCATGCTCGTGTCCGGAGGCGTGCCGTGCCGGCTGTTTCTGCAGAGAGGGATTTGTGCGCCACGATGGTGACTGCGTCCCGCTTTCTCAGTGCCCAGGTACGGGGAGAGTGCGTGTAGCGGTCCTATAAGAGGGTACTGCCTCGCCCTGTTTAGCTTATTCCCTCTTGTAGATTGTCATTTTGCAGTGTTTTTACGTAGTGCCATGGCTGGCTATCGCCGCCCCCCCCCCCCCTCCCTCTATATTGGCCTCTGTTCCCTGGCCACGGGAAGGTGAAATGAATTGGATTAGCCATGTACATACTATGTGTCAGTGCTTTTTCTTCCGTACAAGGTTTTTGCCACCAGCCTGCCACCGTTAAATCTTGCCAAATATTGAGGATGAAGCCAGCTTGCGGGTGAAGTGTGTACTGTCACGTGACTATTGAGCATCCTCGCATAATAATAAATAAATAAATTTCCAGCCGAGTCTCAAATTTTCCGCATCCGCCGTGGGAACGCCACCACCCTCTATGATCAAAGGCGCAGATGCAGCGTCTAAACGGTGTGTAAACAAACCCCATGTTAATCATTTTTGTGGATTAGGTTGTTACATGGTGCTGGTTTTGATCTGTCTCATTCAGATCTTGTTCGCTGCCGTGGCGATAAGAGAAAATCTGTGGGTGTTACATCCAGTGCATTTGCAGTGAGCGGGTGCGTTTGTGTGTATGATTTTATTAATTATGTGTGTGTGTGTGTGTGTGTGTGTGTGTGTGTGTGTGTGTGTGTGTGTGTGTGTGTGTGTGTGTGTGTGTGTGTGTGTTGCTTTCGTGTCCAGTTCCCGGCTCGCAAGCTGGCAGGCAGGCGTGCAGCTGTGTTCCGGAGTGCACTGCTCCCGGCACAGCCCAGTACAGAGTCGAGTTCAACGCCGAATGGACGGCACCACCGCCACCCAGAAGTAAGACTCACTGGTGTGATCTCTCCGAGTGTTGTACATACATGTAGCCATGTTACCATTACCCCCTCCCCCCCCCCCCCCCCCCCCCCCCGTTCCCTTCGTGGCCTTTCCCCTGGTATGGGTATGGCATGTGCAATTTGCACCAGAGAGTCCAAACAGCTAGGGAGACAACACGGGACCAAAGTCCAAAGCACCTGGAATGATGGATGTTTTGACCCCAGTTTCGGAAGCTGTACGTGGTCCGGAGTCTCTGCAACTCCCGATCCTGACCACTAACTCTTGATCTACTGACACCGAAATGCAGCCTAGTCTAAGGAAGTCATAATGCAAGTGTGTGTGTGTGTGTAAGTCGACCCTGCCCCAAGGTCTACTGGAAAAGGGCAGACCGGGGAGCGAAACCCACATTGTCTCACGTTATAGTCACCCATCGTATCCATAGCCGGCATAGGCGGTATGAATGGTCTTATCAGAATAACAAGGTATAGAATATTAAAAATAACTGCTAGTAAATGTTTTTTTGAGCAAGCTTGAAGTACCGTTTTTGTCCAGTTATAAGTTGACTTAAAACAGAATTTTAAAATAAAAGGCGCGGTAGTCGACATATTGGGGGATTGACTTTTAACCGCTAACATAAGGTAAGCATCGAGCTTGAAGGTGTAAAGTAGAGAGTTGAATTCTGCAGCGGGTAGTGGTGCAGTACTCAGTGAGTTTCTGCATGTGCTCTTGTCTGCCTACCAGGATCTCCCCACTGGAGTTCGTTTGTCGGTGCGTCTCATTCGCCGTGTGCTGTTCTCTGGAGAAACGGTATGTACATGTACATGGTGTGTAAAAACAAAAACATACACCTGCCGCCTAACAAGTGCTAGTACACACTGGTCTAGCTCAATGTATCTAATGTAGGTGGATGGTCTTTGAGTGTGTGTTCAGATTGAGCATTGAAGGGATGGTACTGGAGTGAAGCAATGTATTGGTGGCCACTCACCTAAGAGACTGCCTGACTTTTGCGATCACCTGTCGTGAGACCATTTGTCTTTAGCGATCACCTGTCTTTAGCGATCACCTGTCTTTAGAGATCGCCTGTCTTTAGCGATCACCTGTCTTTCGCGATCACCTGTCTTTAGCGATCACCTCTCTGCAGAGATCACCTGTGTCAAGACACCACCTGTCTGCCCTCGGGCATTGTGCACTCTTCTGAACAGCCTGAACACTTTCTGTTTTAACTAATGCTGACATTGATTCTTGCACAGGCACACTGGCGACACTGGGCGTGAAGAACGTTGCTGAGTTTGGTAGCAACTCGGCCATCAACCGGGAAGTACGCAACTTGGACTGCTATCAAGGTGCCTACTTCAGCGCTGGTGGTATAGGCAGCAGCGCTGGCCAAGTCAGGGCCAATGTCATGGTGGATAGGTGAGTGCATCCGCTCAGCACTGTCGCCATATCGTTGGCTTGTAGTACATGCAGGTGTGCTGGCTTCTTCTTTCCAGCTCCTATCCTCTCACATCTCAGGGTAGCTTTACTCATAGACTCTGGGGCACAGGATAGGATGTCGTTGGTACACCGGCATATGGACGCATCACACGAACTTCCCAAAGCTCTCTCTCTCTATCTATTTCTCTCTCTCTCTCTCTCTCTCTCTCTCTCTCTCTCTCTCTCTCTCTCTCTCTCTCTCTCTCTCTCTCTCTCTCTCTCTCTCTCTCTCTCTCTCTCTCTCTCTCTCTCTCTCTCTCTCTCTCTCTCTCTCTCTCTCTTTCTCTCTCTCTCTCTCCCCCCTTGTTTTCTGTTATTCAGTCAAGTAAGCCTGGTGTTCATTGTCCCTCTGAGTATATGTGCTGGGCATATCGTTGGTATTTGCAGGTACAACCACTTGATCTCGGGCATGTCTATGATCGCTCCTTCGCCTGACTGGATTGTCGGTATAGACAGTATTCCCGTGTGCAAGGGATCGGAATGGCTGGACAGAATCGAGTATCACGCTCACCTGTGGGACGCTGGTACAGACTCTGGCTTGCGTTTCACCTCGCGTAACCAGGCAACAAATCCGAGGGAGATTATTCAGAGGATCAGGTATGCATGCGTGGATGTTGTCCAAACTGAGGCTTTCATCCAGGTTGCTACAGCCCAACTATACATTTGCATACTGTGGTAGAGGTGGTGTACAATATCTCACATAGTAAGTCCATTGCGCAATGACGTAATGTGTACACTTAACGCCCCACACAACCACCTGGGCATGGTCGTGTGGGTCGTTGAACAGTGCAGCCCTAATCCCAGCCTACTCATAATATGCATTGCATATACATTGCTCATACCTTCCGTATTTAGCAATGCACAATGGGATTATCAGCATACACGGAAATAGTACACCGTAGGTATTCATGGCAAGCTGTCCGTATACTTGTACTCACACTGCCTTTGTCTTCTTGCTCTCCTTGCAAATGGTGGTGATTGTTGGCGCGTCAAGAAAATCGAACTTATTGATAGCATCAATTCTATTTCATGATGCTGTGTGTTCGACTGCGCTGCAGATCCAACACACCCCAGTTGTCTCTGTCATCCCAAGGCTACTCAGCACGTCTGGGCACCATCGTGTTGAGAAGGATCAGCGTCAACCCCCGCGGTGTGCCACGCAGTCAGCCAGAGTGCACTCAGTGCCCCAAGGGCGTACAGTGCGTGGCAAGCTACGATGTCACAGGTAAAGAAGAGAGATAGATGAAAGAGCTGATAGATAGATGATAGTGCTGATAAAACAGAGAGGTTCCAGGCTGTCCAATAGATTGCTCGAGCTAGTTCAAAGACTGTGTTCTGATGATCGCTTAGTGAGTGAAACTCGGTGTTAGAACAGTTTTTCCATCCTCTTTTTCTTACTTGCATGAAAGAGCTGATAGATGAATTATTGAAGAGGGGTACATGTACATGTCATGAAACACGTCCTAGTTGGATGCTGAGTAGTCTCTCCGCCGATGTACTTGCCATTCTCACACGGAGAAGAGAGAGAGAGAAATGGAGAGGGAGAGGGAGAGGGAGAGGGAGAGGGAGAGGGAGAGGGAGAGAGAGAGAGAGAGAGAGAGAGAGAGAGAGAGAGAGAGAGAGAGAGAGAGAGAGAGAGAGAGAGAGAGGCAACGACATACCGAAAGACGAAAGACAAGGGACTCGTGATCAGTTCCACTTTTCTGGACAATGGTCCAGTCACCCTCCCCATATCTTATAAGTTAGACAGACAAAGACACGGAGAGAGAGAGACAGACAGCACGACATAGAGATGAACGATGAAAGATGAACTGAAGACAGACATTGAACCATTCTACCATACCTGGAATCTGAAGTGACCGCGCTTGTCTGTGATGTGATGGTTTGACTTGCAGTGATGAATCGACCTACATGTGGTGCCAACGAAGCTTTCAGCACCTGTGGCTCTCCATGTCCAGAAACATGCGAAGGCTCTCCGTTTGCCTGTGCCACTGTGTGTGAGCAAGGCTGTTTCTGCACTACGGGGCACGTCAGGCACGAGGGACGCTGCATTGAGCGATCGGCATGCCCTGTTGAAGGTACGGGCACGTCCTCGAGTTACATACCTATAATATTATTGTCCTTGAATTGGATTCATGTGATGCACATGGTCAAGCTAATATTTCATGTCCTCCAAAGCTCCCCTCTCAGAGGTGTAGCTGCTCCCCCCTTTTAGGGGGTGCACGGCCGCATATGTGTATGATGGCTGGTGCATGTCATTCATGGTCATTATGTGCATGCTGAACCTAGGTCGAAATTTCCAGGGGGGTGCACATGGTTGATTATTTTGGTGGTAAAGACACACCTGGCAATATGGTGGCAAATACCCGCCTGCCCACACACGCCTTCTAGGCTGCACAGTTCTAGCACAGAGCTCTCCTTCTCACCACCATCAGCTCGCGCCTGGCGCCTAGTCGATGCATAGTTGGAGGTATCCTACATAGCAGGCTGGTACATCAGGTAGCGCCAGAACTCTGCAGCCTAGAGAGCATGTGTGGGCAGGCGTGTATTTACTACCATATTGCCAGGTGTGTTTTACCACCATATTAATCAACCATAAGTGCAGCTGCAGTAGTGTCTTCAACTTCATTCTATTCAAAACAAGCTTCTATATGAGATAGTAATGATATGGATACAGAATATTCTGTTTCTGTGCATTTGTGTGTGCATGTATATAACCATGTGTGTGTGTGTGTGTGTGTGTGTGTTCGTGTGTGTGTGTGTGTGTGTGTGTGTGTGTGTGTGTGTGTGTGTATGTGTGCTGTGTGGGCGCACACGCGTATGTGTGTGTGTGTCTGTGTGTGTCTGTGCATGTCTGTGCGTGCATGCGTGTGCGCGTACGTACATGTGTGTGTGTGTGTGTGTGTGTGTGTGTGTGTGTGTGTGTGTGTGTGTGTGTGTATGTATCCATAGAAACCACCGTACCAGCTGCACCCACAACACCAACGTGTCCAGCCAACGAAATCTTCAGCGGATGCGGCGCTGCATGCATAGAAACCTGTGACGGAGCCCCAGCCTTTTGTACACTGGCGTGTGTACCGGGCTGTGTGTGTACTAGTGGATATGTCAGACATGAGGGAAGCTGTATTGAGCGATCTGCTTGTCCAGCTGAAGGTACGATGCATTGATGGACTAGGTTTGAACACACTGCAGGTCTGGGTCCATACTCCACCTTGAACCAATGCACAGCCCAGTGTTTTGCTGGCCTGACACTGCACATGCACTGCATTGCCTCACTTGTCTTCTTATCCTTGTGATTCTCTTGTGGGACACATTGATCACACCATCCGTTGCTGGTGGTATCTATGTCAGTGAGACTATGTGTTTAGACACCTGTCATGCAGAAAATCCCAGTCAGATTCTTGCCATATTACGGTGACCGTGTGGTCGTATTTCCCTTCTGATGTTTCTGTAGAAACCAGCGCACCAGCTGCACCCACGATACCGACGTGTCCAGCCAACGAAGTCTTCAGCTCGTGCGGCGCTGCGTGCATAGAAACGTGTGACGGTGCCCCGGCCGTCTGTGCACTTATATGCGTGCCGGGCTGTGTGTGTACTGGTGGATATGTCAGACACGACGGAAGCTGTATTGAGCGATCTGCTTGTCCAGCTGAAGGTACATTGTACATAACGTTGTAATAGTGGACCCTGTATTCTCTGCACCATCAGTCCATCATGCTGGATAGTTGCGGGCGTTTGTCTCAAAATGATTTTCTATGCAACTCGCAAGCATGACCATGGCCATGACTTGCTCATCAAAAATGTGACCCACTCCAGCGATGCCAAACATGAGCATGCATAACTGATCAGCCGTATACCCCAAGTGTGGCTGGAAAGGGCAGCCAGCCCAAGCCCACTTCATTTAAGGGCATGGTCAACCAGAAACGCTGTCTACCTGTTCGCAGAAACCCTCTTGCATCCTAGGACTACGGTGTGTTTTTCAGGTCTCTGCTGGGATGACAGCTAAACCGTAGCTCAGTGGTTGCAGCATCGCTGGCCTCAAGCCAAGGTCCCTGCTTCGAGTCCTGGTGGTGATAGTCGAAACAATTTCTTCAGACTTTTCCCGTATTCATCTTTCCCTCAAGCCATGAATGTGTTCAATAATTCACATTGTGAACAGTCAACATTAAGGCCCAATTTAGAATGCACTGTAAGAAAGAACATAAATTGAAGTTTGGCATTTGAACTGTTTGCTTACTTATAGATAACCATGTTTACATGTACCGTTAAGTAGTAGAGCCTACACGCTTTCTTCCATTAACACTGCAATAGTTCAACTCTTTTCACAATATTACAACGTTTCGGCAAATTGCCTTCATCAGGTTCACACAATTGAGAGCGTGTGGGTTCTACTACTTTTAAACTGTTTATGAAACTGCAGGAAGCCTCCCTACTTTTACTTATGTATACATGTGTTCCTGATTGTGTGTGTTTGTTGCACAGGACCGTCTGGACCGCCCGCACCGGGGCCAGTTACCCACACTGTCGGTGGTAAATGCCGCAATGTCGGCGTGGCTGGTGGATTTGGTATTTGCATTTCTGACTGCGCGGGCGACTCCGACTGCACTGGTGGAGATCTGTGCTGCCAGAATGAATGCGGCGGACAGGTTTGCTCCGCACCGTGTCCCGTTCTTACATGTCCTGTCCAGTGTGACGTGTTCTCTAATGGTGATAACGGCTGCCCAACTTGCTCGTGTGAAAGTAAGTTATAAATACACACAAAGTTTATCGTATTCATAAGTTGAGAGCGGGACATTGTGCAGACTATTTTCAGTTGGTTGGACCATCGTAAGTTGGCGGCAACATCATAATTCTGGCGGCCATCCTATGTTGGTCGGACTATCCTCAGTTTGTCTTCGGCTAGACCATCTTGAAAAACTCATCTTGAAAAGGCCCGACCATCTTGAAAAGGCTGGACCATCTTGAAAGGCTAGACCATCTCGAAAAGGCCGGACCATCTTCAGTTAGCCAACCCATTTTCATTTTGCCAAGGAAACTGTAAAATCAATGGTGTGTAGCATTCATGGCTTGTGCACAATATTTCTACTTCCTCCCCGTCATTAAAATTGTCGCTTCGCACATCGCAATATTTGTGATTTGGCTCGTCTTAGTCAGACTGTTGGAATTGCTGTTTTCTGTGTTCGAACACTGGTGCGACCCTTCCTGCGCAATGTCTACTTGTTACTGAAGCCGTGGTGGTCTCGGACTTTGTCGGAGCTCTCTTCCGCACCAAGCACATTCATCGTGCTCCGAACTATTCCGCCCCAGAGCGCATTTCGTTTTCTGGAGTTCGTGCCGTCCCACATCGTTCGCGTGGGCATTTGTCAAGACTGCAAGCTCGGGTATAAGAATCCTGGTATCTCTCCTGAATACGAACTGCTGAAGTTGACGATGGCAAGAGCAAAGTGGTCTCGAATTCCTAAAATGCGCTACTTGTGGCGCATATTGCTGCGAAGGTAGCAGGTCTGAAAACACCAGCAAAATCAGCGAAGCGCTTGCCAAGGAAAGAAGGTGCGGAACTGCTTACCCTATCCCGCTGGAAGGTTGTTACAGTGTACTTGAAAAATGCTAGCTTGCCTTCATCGCCTGCCACCTGGAGGCATGGATCGCTTGAAAACGAAGTTTCTTGACCTGAATTTGAACGCGCGTCTTGTTCAGCGTATTGTTGAGTGCTGAAGGGTCTGCCTCAAACTCTGATGAAGACGTCGACCTTAGCTGCAAGTGCAGCGAATCGGGGGGCCACAAACTAAAGCTTGGTCCGTCGATAATGCTCTGCCTCAATTTCTACCTGATTTCTTTGCCCTTCGAGTGGACAAAATCATTTCGAAAAATCGCTCTGGGAAGCGACAATTTTAATGACGCGGAGGAAGTATTTGCATCTCGAACTCTTATTTCCTTACAGCCCAAGACTCACATTTATACACTAGCCCCAACCCTCCATTGTGATTTTGTCTTTTTTCTTTACAGGAGCAATCTCACCTGGACCGCCAGCACCTGGACCGCCAGCACCTGGACCGCCAGCACCTGGACCTCCAGCACCTGGACCGCCAGCACCAGGGCCAGTTACCCACACAGTCGGTGGTAAATGCCGCAATGTCGGCGTGGCTGGTGGATTTGGTATTTGCATTTCTGACTGCGCGGGCGACTCCGACTGCACTGGTGGAGATCTGTGCTGCCAGAATGAATGCGGCGGACAGGTTTGCTCCGCACCGTGTCCAGTTCTTACATGTCCTGTCCAGTGTGACGTGTTCTCTAATGGTGATAACGGCTGCCCAACTTGCTCGTGTGAAAGTAAGTTATGAATGCACACAAAGTTTATCGTATTGATAAGTTGAGAGCGGGACATTATGCAGACCATGTTCAGTTGGTTGGACCATTGTAATTTGGCGGACCATCCTATGTTGGTCGGACCATCCTCAGTTGGCCTACGGCTAGACCATCTTCAAAAACTTGGCCATCTTGAAAAGGCCCGACCATCTTGAAAAGGTTCGACCATCTTGAAAGGCTAGACCATTAATTTTTGAAAAGGCTGGATGATCTTGAAAGGCCAGACCGTCTTGAAAAGGCCGGACCATTTTCAGTTAGCCAACCCATCTTCATTTTGCCAAGGAAACTATAAAATCAATCATGAATGGTGTGTAGCATCCATGGCTTGTGCAGAATATTTCTATTTGTATCTCTAATTCCTATTTCCTTACAACCCAAGACCCACATTTGTACACTAGCCTCAAACCTCCATTGTGATTTTGTCTTTTTTCTTTCCAGGAGCTGTAATTTTGTAATTTTTATTGTTTAAGGAAAGGCTTTCGCCTATCGAGGGGGTTTCCAAACTTTCCATAATACCAAATCTGTGAAAGAAAATCTGTGAAAGAAGTGATGAGCAATAGGTGAGCAAAGAAGGAGAAAAAGACATGGTCTAGGGCAGAGCTCTGCGCTTGAGCATATGATTGTAAGCTTGCAGAACTGGGATAATACATGTAATTGATGCAAAATGTGCAAGAGATAAGCTTCTAAAGAATATGATGTGACGCTACATATTCAACGGAATTCCACTGCAGTGAAACCAATGCTCGTAAAACTGTTTGTGCAGCTCTTGCTTAAATTCGCTTAAACTGGTTAAGGAGGTGATCTTAGGGGGCAGACAATTCCAGAGGGTGCTGTATTTATGGAAAAAGAGATTTAATACGGACTTCAGCAACTTATCAAACACCACGAGCCAAACGGACATTCCCAAATGGGACTTTGAACACCATAACTGGGTATGACAAGTAGATGATTCTTGAAGACGGTTTGACTCATGTGTTCCTGATTGGGTGTGTTGGTTGTACAGGACCGTCTGGACCGCCCTCACCTGGACCGCCAGCACCTGGACCGCCAGCACCTGGACCGCCAGCACCTGGACCGCCAGCACCTGGACCGCCAGCACCTGGACCGCCCTCACCTGGACCGCCAGCACCTGGACCGCCAGCATCAGGGCCAGTTACCCACACTGTCGGTGGTAAATGCCGCAATGTAGGCGTGGCTGGTGGATTTGGTATTTGCATTTCTGACTGCGCGGGCGACTCCGACTGCACTGGTGGAGATCTGTGCTGCCAGAATGAATGTGGCGGACAGGTTTGCTCCGCACCGTGTCCCGTTCTTACATGTCCTGTCCAGTGTGACGTGTTCTCTAATGGTGATAACGGCTGCCCAACTTGCTCGTGTGAAAGTAAGTTATGAATACATACACAGTTTATCGTATTGATAAGTTGAGAACGGGACATTGTGCAGACCATTTTCAGTTGGTTGGACCATTGTAAGTTGGCGGGACCATCACAATTTGGCGGACCATCCTCAGTTGGCCTTCGGCTAGACCATCTTGAAAAACTTGGCCATCTTGAAAAGGCCCGACCTTCTTGAAAACGTTGGACCATCTTGAAAGGCTAGACCATTACTTTTTGAAAAGGCTGGATGATCTTGAAAGGCTATACCGTCTTGAAAAGGCTGGACCATCTTCAGTTAGCCAACCCATTTTCATTTTGCCAAGGAAACTGTAAAATCAATCATGAATAGTGTGTAGCATCCATGGCTTGTGCAGAATATTTCTATTTGTATCTCTAATTCCTATTTCCTTACAACCCAAGACCCACATTTGTACACTAGCCTCAAACCTCCATTGTGATTTTGTGTTTTTCCTTTGCAGGAGCTGTAACACCACCTGAGCCTACGACTCCAACATGTCCTCCAAATGAAGTCCATGACTCTTGTGGCTCATCGTGTCCGGAGACCTGTGCTGGAATACCGTTCATTTGCGATTTCCGCTGTGTAGAGGGCTGCTTCTGTGCGCCTGGCTATATCAGACACGAGGGTATCTGTATTGAGCCATCTGCATGCCCAGGTATGAAGTGACTCTAAACTGTTTTTGCCCCCCCCCCCCCCCCCCGAGCGTCTTGTGTTCTAAAACAGACAATATCAGCCTCTCCTTGTCCTAAATACTTCCCAAACCAAACTGCAAATGTTTGTGGAGGAGAGTGCTTTGGCAAAGAATGCCCGGCAGGTACCTATGTATTTTACAATGACAGTATGAGTAGCATTACTTGATTAAATCTGATTTAAACTTCTTGTTTAGTACCCTGGACATACACGGCCGATGATGCCCGGCTACGAACACTGCTGGACGGCTACATGTACTAATATATGTACAGACTTCAGCTACTTATCAAACACCACGAGCCAAACGGTCTTCCACGAATGGGACTTTGAGAATAGCAGTATGTGAATCCTATCTGTGTCCTCTGTGTGGATTGCTGCCGTTGTGTTGGCTGTGAGAATGGCCTGGGGTAAGACGTTTTTTTGTCGGCTAGCACCCGTTCTATTCTCTTATCCTCCTCCCCCCCCCCCCCCCCCTGTAAAGGAATAGTACACTCTGCACACAGCAAGCACTCCAGTCAGACCGTTGACACATTGGTTCAATGTATGTAGAGCAAAAACGACAAAGACGAGGAAAAAGACAACCACAGGAACCTAAAATGCAAGTCAGGAAGCCAGCAGTAGTACGCACGAGTCTGCGCATATGCATCTCTACAACGTACGTACGCACGATATGGCATAAGTCCGGCTGAAGAATAGCAAGGCCCGCGGCGTCGCGGATGCACAGCCACGCGGCTCAAATAAATGTGGAAACACGCAAAAATCACAGATAAACAAACACAAAGAAACGCAGTCTTGGAACAGAATTAATGAAGCACAAGAGAACAGAATAGAAAGAAGTCGTATCGCTACAAACGGATTAGATATCAACATGCCACAGTTCCATGATCCCAACAATTCGATATTACTATGTGGGACTCCAGAATATAGGTAAGTAAGTTGTGCTGTGCAAACAACTCGAAGTATAAAATTTAAGAACTAATAGTATAAATAATATTATTTTGTTACCACAACGTCAATTTCCTTTCACCCCTCTTTCTTCACCAGGCATTTGTGGATGAATTCCTGTGTGTGCCTGAGTTGCTGTTGAGCGACTGATTCCTTCACCTGAAATGACAAAACGACTCCTAGAACCAAGGACAACACCATGACTGGGCATGACCAGAAGATGGCTCTTGAAGACGGTTTGACTCATGTGTTCCTGATTGCGTGTGTTTGCTGTACAGGATCGCCTGGACCGCCCTCACCTGGACCGCCCTCACCTGGACCGCCAGCACCTGGACCGCCGGCAACAGGGCCAGTTACCCACACTGTCGGTGGTAAATGCCGCAATGTCGGCGTGGCTGGTGGATTTGGTATTTGCATTTCTGACTGCGCGGGCGACTCCGACTGCACTGGTGGAGATCTGTGCTGCCAGAATGAATGTGGCGGACAGGTTTGCTCCGCACCGTGTCCCGTTCTTACATGTCCTGTCCAGTGTGACGTGTTCTCTAATGGTGATAACGGCTGCCCAACTTGCTCGTGCGACAGTAAGTTATGAATACACACAAAGTTTATCGTATTGATAAGTTGAGAACGGGACATTGTGCAGACCATGTTCAGTTGGTTGGACCATCGTAAGTTGACGGCAAAATCATAATTCTGGCGGCCATCCTATGTTGGTCAGACTATCCTCATTCATAAGACACGCTTGGTAGGTTTTTGTGCATCAGCGTAATGATCATTCCACTTGTATGCTCTGTTTCCATTGTCAGGTCCAATAATAACAACGCCGCCACCACCTGTGGATCTGTGCAGTCTTGTAACTTGCCAAGGATTGAACTGTGCACCGGGCACAGCAGCAGCGCGTGTACCAGGTGCATGCTGTGATACCTGTGAACCCACCGCCATCACCAGTAAGTGATACCACAATCCCAATACACATCACACAGCTAGGCAGTGTGATGATACCTCTGCTTCATAAGCAAATCTCATTGAATGAGGCAACAGTGGCTCGTTCTGTGAACAGGCAGCTAATATTAAATGAGTATATCTGTAAAGTGTATGCATGTTTCGGTCTCATGCCAATTCCGGCAAAGTCTTCAGGTTTGGGCGGCCAGTCCAAAATGGACCCTTGTTCTGCTAATAGCATTTGGAATCTGTGCGTATCTGCTCTTCTGCAGATGTTTGTGGAGCATTTGAGGAATCGATTCCGTGCGCCGAGCTCTGCCCAGCAAAGTGTAGCAATCGCGGACTACTTTTTGCCTGTCCTCCCGATTGCTCGCAGCAAGGCTGCACGTGTATTGAAGGATATGTGCGTGATGAGAATGACCGCTGCATCAGAGAGATTGACTGCGATCAGGGTTAGTACAGAATCTTGTTAGGAAGTGCCATAGTTTTCGTGTTGCATTGGATTGTGGAGAGTTTGAAGTAGAAGTATTACCTAGATAAAAAATCTCACTTCTTATAGTCGTTGGGGTGCTGTGCTGAGTGCATGATGGTATGGTCTGGATCCGAGCAACGTGAAACACTCCCTTTGTCCTATGTTCCCAATCGAAATCGTGAACCCTCCTGCAACTAGGTTGATTGGAAAATATAGCAGGTTTACTCTGAGCAAAACGGACTGTGTTTGTCCACATATCTAGTATCTAAACTGATCGGCACTTTATCCATAGCAACCTGGTGACACTTTATCCATAGCAACCCAGCGGCTATGGATAACGGCATCTGATAGGGTTTGGTGGTGTAGACGCATAGTTGATTTTCTCATAGCTATGTCTAAAAAGTAAAACCCTCGAGACAGTGTACATTACACCGTTGTTCCCTTCCACACGTTCTTTGTGTACCATCCATGGCGTCCATAACAGTCTTCTAGGCGCGTACAGTCCACTTTGCGCATAACGACACTCGGCGGGGCATCAGAAAAGTGTCCTTATTCGCGAAGTGTCGTTATACCCGAACTCTCATTATATGTATACAGGTAGATGGGACTTTGCTCTGGGCATAGAAATTCTGTCGTTATTCGCGAATTTTTGTTATATCCGCAGTCGTTATTAGCGAAGTTGACTGTAGCAGTGAAGTTGGCAATCGCATAATGGCCACTGATGTTCCAAATATGAAGTCGTAAGCCCTCCTTGATTTGTAATGCTCTGGGGTGGGTGGTGGAGTTCTTTCGCTCCTATTTTCCTCCAAACCCTCGCTTATACGCTTTTGGCAGTGCGCTGAGGAAAGGTTGTCCCTGCGTTCCAAAGGGCGCAACTTGTGGAAAGTGTTACGACGGACCGCTGGCACCAGTGGTGGCTGCTGACATTAACATTAGTGTGTCCCGATATTCGGGCACCAACAAACCCATCGGTACTGGTCTGAGAACATTGCTGGCGGTAATACCAAATGCTGAGGCGCTCTCCTGCGAGGTGCGTACACTTCCATACAGGAATTCGGGGTTCCACAACGACGGACTGCTGCCGCCGTTGTTCGCCGCTGACATTGACATTAGTGTGTCCCGATATTCAGGCGCCAACAAATCCATACCTACTGGTCTGAGAACATTGCCGGCGGTAGTACCTAATGCTGAGGCGCTGTCCTGCAAAGTGTGTGCAGTTGATTGCAGGAAATCTGGGTTAATAATGTTAGTCCATGCACGGCCATTGATACTCTGTTACTGTTACGAGTTCTACTGGACGTGTATCTGTACACAAAATACTGATAATAATACTAATACTGAATGCTCTCCTTGGCTCGGCAGCTATCCTGCGGAAGGTCCTCGATTTTTAATGCTCTGGGGTGGGTGGTGGAGTTCTTTCGGTCCTATTTTCCTCCAAACCCTCTCGTGTTTCCTATGATCCGTATTTAAAGTGTTGTCTGTTTCTCTGTTGTATACTTACCATCATATTAAAATATCCATATGATGCATGGCCCCACCTTTGGCTGCTGGATGTTAGCCTGGTGGGTGCCAATCTCCGGCCTTTGGCCGAGTGCTGATGGATAATGATAATAATGTTGCAATGGCAACTGATCAAGGGAATTAGCTTTGCACTTTTGGATCGGATTTCACCTAGCCCTGTTGCACATTAAACCATCACCTGGTTGATATACTATTTTATATACACCAGTACTGTCGTGGACATGGAAATGTAGTTGGATGACCGGGTCTGGCGCCCTCAGCGCGTGTAGAACGTTACATGCAGTGCACATATTGATCCAATGCGACCTGCGCGCTTCAGCGCGTAAACGAATGTGTGCTCGTACCGCTTACTCACGGCTGCATGGCCAGCGCTCTGGGGCGTCTAGACGTGCAACCAGATTTCCATGTCCACGCCATTATGTACCGGTAATATTTGTTTTCAGTGTTACTGTCAAGTCACAGTGAAACAAGCAAGAAGAGCATTTTCAGCAGTATTAATAAAAACAATAAACCAAGGCACAGGACACACTTGGTAGGTTATTGTGCATCAGCGAAATGATCATGCCATTGGTGTGTTCTGTATGCATCGTCAGGTCCAATAATTACAACACCACCTGTGGATCTGTGCAGTCTTGTAACTTGCCAAGGATTGAACTGTGCACCGGGCACAGCAGCAGCGCGTGTACCAGGTGCATGCTGTGATACCTGTGAACCCACGGACAACACCAGTAAGTGATACCACAATCCCAATACACATCACACAGCTAGGCAGTGTGATGATACCTCTGCTTCATAAGCACATCTCATTGAATGAGGCAACAGTGGCTTGTTCTGTGAACAGGCAGCTAATAGTAAATGAGTATATCTGTAAAGTGTATACATGTTTCGGTCTCATGCAAAGTTCGACAAAGTCTTCAGGTTTGGGGGGGGGGGGGGGACATTCCAAAATGGACCCTTGTTCTGCTAATAGCATTTGGAATCTGTTCGTATCTGCTCTTCTGCAGATGTTTGTGGAGCATTTGAGGAATCGATTCCGTGCGCCGAGCTCTGCCCAGCAAAGTGTAGCAATCGCGGACTACTTTTTGCCTGTCCTCCCGATTGCTCGCAGCAAGGCTGCACGTGTATTGAAGGATATGTGCGTGATGAGAATGACCGCTGCATCAGAGAGATTGACTGCGATCAGGGTTAGTACAGAATCTTGTTATGAAGTGCCATAGTTTTCGTGTTGCATTGGATTGTGGAGAGTTTGAAGTAGAAGTATTACCTAGATAAAAAATTTCACTTCTAATAGTCGTTGGGGTGCTGTGCTTAGTGCATGATGGTATGGTCTGGATCCGAGCAACGTGAAACACTCCCTTTGTCCTATGTTCCCAATCGAAATCGTGAGCCCTCCTGCAACTAGGTTGATTGGAAAATAGAGCAGGTTTACTATGAGCAAAACGGACTGTGTTTGTCCACATATCTAGTATCTAAACTGATCGGCACTTTATCCATAGCAACCTGGTGACACTTTATCCATAGCAACCCAGCGGCTATGGATAACGGCATCTGATAGGGTATGGTGGTGTAGACGCATAGTTGATTTTCTCATAGCTATGTCTAAAAAGTAAAACCCTCGAGACAGTGTACATTACACCTTTGTTCCCTTCCACACGTTCTTTGTGTACCATCCATGGCGTCCATAACAGTCTTCTAGGCGAGTACAGTCCACTTTGCGCATAACGACACTCGGCGGGGCATCAGAAAAGTGTCCTTATTCGCGAAGTGTCGTTATACCCGAACTCTCTTTATATGTATACAGGTAGATGGGACTTTGCTCTGGGCATAGAAATTCTGTCGTTATTCGCGAATTTTTGTTATATCCGCAGTCGTTATTAGCGAAGTTGACTGTAGCAGTGGAGTTGGCAATCGCATAATGGCCACTGATGTTCCAAATATGAAGTCGTAAGCCCTCCTTGATTTGTAATGCTCTGGGGTGGGTGGTGGAGTTCTTTCGCTCCTATTTTCCTCCAAACCCTTGCTTATACGCTTTTGGCAATGCGCTGAGGAAAGGTTGTCCCTGCGTTCCAAAGGGCGCAACTTGTGGAAAGTGTTACGACGGACCGCTGGCACCAGTGGTGGCTGCTGACATTAACATTAGTGTGTCCCGATATTCGGGCACCAACAAAACCCATCGCTACTGGTCTGAGAACATTGCTGGCGGTAATACCAAATGCTGAGGCGCTCTCCTGCGAGGTGCGTACACTTCCGTACAGGAAATCGGGGTTCCACAACGACGGACTGCTGCCGCCGTTGTTCGCCGCTGACATTGACATTAGTGTGTTCCGATATTCAGGCGCCAACAAACCCATACCTACTGGTCTGAGAACATTGCCGGCGGTAGCACCTAATGCTGAGGCGCTGTCCTGCAAAGTGTGTGCAGTTGATTGCAGGAAATCTGGGTTAATAATGTTAGTCCATGCACGGCCATTGATACTCTGTAACTGTTACGAGTTCTACTGGACATGTATCTGTACACAAAATACTGATAATAATACTAATACTGAATGCTCTCCTTGGCTCGGCAGCTATCCTGCGTAAGGTCCTCGATTTTTAATGCTCTGGGGTGGGTGGTGGAGTACTTTCGGTCCTATTTTCCTCCAAACCCTCTCGTGTTTCCTATGATCCATATTTAAAAGTGTTGTCTGTTTCTCTGTTGTTTACTTACCATCATATTAAAATATCCATATGATGCATGGCCCCACCTTTGGCTGCTGGATGCTAGCCTGGTGGGTGCCAATCTCCGGCCTTTGGCCGAGTGCTGATGGATAATGATAATAATGTTGCAATGGGAACTGATCAAGGGAATTAGCTTTGCACTTTTGGATCGGATTTCACTTAGCCCTGTTGCACGTTAAACCATCAACTGGTTGATATAATATTTTATATACACCAGTACTGCCGTGGACATGGAAATGTAGTCGCATGACCGGGTCTGGCGCCCTCAGCGCGTGTAGAACGTTACATGCAGTGCACATATTGATACGATGCGACCTGCGCGCTTCAGCGCGTAAATGAATGTGTGCTCGTACCGCTTACTCACGGCTAGATAGCCAGCGCTCTGGGGCGTCTAGACGTGCGACCAGATTTCCATGTCCACGCCATTATGTACCGGTAATATTTGTTTTCAGTGTTACTGTCAAGTCACGGTGAAAACAAGCAAGAAGAGCATTTTCAGCAGCATTAATAAAAACAATAAACCAAGGCACAGGACACACTTGGTAGGTTCTTGTGCATCGGCGTAATGATCATGCCAATGGTGTGTTCTGTATCCATTGTCAGGTCCAATAATAACAACACCACCTGTGGATCTGTGCAGTCTTGTGACTTGCCAAGGATTGAACTGTGCACCGGGCACAGCAGCAGCGCGTGTACCAGGTGCATGCTGTGATACCTGTGAACCCACCGCCATCACCAGTAAGTGATACCACAATCCCAATACACATCACACAGCTAGATGATACCTCTGCTTCATAAGCACATCTCGTTCCAAGAGGCAACAGTGGCTTGTTCTGTGAACAGGCAGCTAATATTAAATGAGTATTTCTGTAAAGTGTATACATGTTTCGGTCTCATGCCAAGTCCGGCAAAGTCTTCAGGTTTGGGGGGGGGGGGGGGCAGTCCAAAATGGACCCTTGTTTTGCTAATAGCATTTGGAATCTGTGCGTATCTGCTCTTCTGCAGATGTTTGTGGATCATTCGAGGAATCGATTCCGTGCGCCGAGCTCTGCCCAGCAAAGTGTAGCAATCGCGGACTACTCTTTGCCTGTCCTCCCGATTGCTCGCAGCAAGGCTGCACGTGTATTGAAGGATATGTGCGTGATGAGAACAATCGCTGCATCAGAGAGATTGACTGCGATCAGGGTGAGTTCAGAATCTTGTTGGGAAGTGCCATCATCTTCATGTTAGATTAGATTGTGGAGAGTTTGAAGTGGAAGTATTGCCTAGATAAATGGCCACTGATGTTCCAAATATGAAGTTGCGAGCCCTCCTTGATTTGTAATGCTCTGGGATGGGTGGTGGAGTTCTTTTGGTCCTATTTTCCTCCAAACCCTCGCTTATACGCTTTTGGCAATGCGCCGAGGAAAGGTTTTCCCCGCATTCCAAAGGGCGCAACTTGTGGAAAGTGTTACGACGGATCGCTGCCGCCAGTGGTGGCTGCTAACATTGGCATTAGTGTGTCCTGATATTCAGGCGCCAACAAACCCATATGTACTGGTCTGGAGACATTGCTGGCGGTAGTACCAAATGCTGAGGCGCTTTCCTGCGAGGTGCGTACACTTCCGTACAGGAAATCGGGGTTCCACAACGACGGACTGCTGCCGCCCTTGTTCGCCGCTGATATTGACATTAGCGTGTCCCGATATTCAGGCGCCAACAAATCCATACCTACTGGTCCGAGAACATTGCTGGCGGTAGCACCTAATGCTGAGGCGCTGTCCTGCGAAGGGTGTTCACTTGATTGCAGGAAATCTGGATTCATAATGTCAACCTATGCTAGCTCTGCTGTATGGTTATGTAAATCCGGTGTGGAAACATTCACAGGCTGTGCTAAATCGAGTAGAGTGGCAGCACTGTAAGGCGACATACTCTGATGACTGGAATGTGTCTTTCTGCGGCCGGGTTAGTTCGTCACTCCTGGCTAAACGCTTCTTGAAGACTTCGCAGACGTACGATTTCTGTCTGGTATGAGTCTGGTTGTGGCTCCTCAGGTGGTCTTTTCTTTTTGAACTTCTTGGGCACATCTCGCAGTGATGTTTCCTGTCGGGATGAGAATCTCGGACATGGCACCTGAGCTTCTGTTCACACTAAAACTCAGCATGGCAGTCGTTGTGGAAACAAGGATGGTCACCCCTCTCCAAGCTAGACCAGTTTCCCGGTGTCGCCATCTTACACGGATGTCTCGCTAAATCTTGAACTTCAGGTCCTCTAAGGCCAGAGAAGAGACTCAATGCAAACTTTGGCCATCGGAAAGGAAACGAGTAGTGACGATATTGGGTCCACTAGGCTGGTTTATATGTTCTTATCCATCAGGGAAAATGGAATCAGTTTGGCTGTGCATTTACTCCTCGCGGAGTTCTGGAGAGTGGAGTTGAAACCAGGGAGTCATAAAATATGTTTACGGCTCCCTGGTGGAAACGAGTAATCGCCACCACGGCGGATCACACAGCTTGAAAGCCAACTTGAACGACGGTAGCATCACCAAAAGTGAGCGGAGTGTAATAAAAAAAAGGACGCAGACATGGTCAAAGTTTCCTCAGAGGTGCGAAGGTGTTTACTTTCGCTCAACTGCATGAGGTGACCCACTTGTTGGGCTAGGCCTTGTGTAGATGTATGTGGTGTGTTGATAAGCATTTGCTGAGCTGTCATTCTAAAATAATTAATAGGGCTTGAAAGTAAATACAAATAAAACTACAACGTGATGACGTCAAAACGGCCAGGGAGTAGTAAGTTCTCATAAGATTTCTATTTTGGATCCACTAAGGTGTGACTTTGCTATAAGCGAGGTTCCGGGTACGATTTTCCGTGCCAAAATCCGTATGGGCGCTACGGACATTGCATTAGAGAGGTTACTCACAACGAAAATTCGTCAGATTTTGACCCTCCGGGTTCGAGTAACGAAAGTTGCTGAAGAAGATCCGTCCAAACGTGTGGACATGTGTTCATGTTTGCATGTGTTTGTCGTTTGTTTGCTGCACCAGGGCCAGCTAACCACACAGTCGGTGGTAAATGCCGCAATCTCGGCGTGGCTGGTGGATTTGGTATTTGCATTTCTGACTGCGCGGGCGACTCCGACTGCACTGGTGGAGATCTGTGCTGCCAGAATGAATGCGGCGGACAGGTTTGCTCCGCACCGTGTCCCGTTCTTACATGTCCTGTCCAGTGTGACGTGTTCTCTAATGGTGATAACGGCTGCCCAACTTGCTCGTGTGAAAGTAAGTTATGAATACACACAAAGTTTATCGTATTGATAAGTTGAGAACGAGACATTGTGCAGACCATGTTCAGTTGGTGGGACTATCCTCAGTTGGCCTTCGCCTGGACCATCTTGAAAGGCCGGGCCATCTTGATAATACTGGAGCCTTTTCAGTTGGCCAGCCCGTTATCATTTTGCCAAGCAATCTCTCAAGTTAATGGCGTGTTGCGTCCATGGCTTGCGCTCCGTGTTTTATTTTTCATCTAAAATTCTAAAAGAAGTTCAAAGTGGACCCTTGTTCTGTAAATAGCATTTGAAATCTGTTCGTATCTGCTTTTCTGCAGATGTGTGTGGAGCATTTGAGGAGTCGATTCCGTGCGCCGAGCTCTGCCCAGCAAAGTGTAGCAATCGCGGATTACTCTTTGCCTGTCCTCCCGACTGCTCGCAGCAAGGCTGCACTTGTATTGAAGGATATGTGCGTGATGAGAACGATCGCTGCATCAGAGAGAGTGACTGCGATCAGGGTGAGTACAACATCTTGTCAGGTAGTGCCATAATCTTCGTGTTAGATTGGA